TTGTAAATAAAGCAGCAATAAACATGGGGGTACAAGTATCTTTTTCAATCAGTGTTTTTGTGTCTTTTGGGTAGATACCTAGGAGTGGGATTGCATTGCATATATTTTTATACATGTATGCACATACTATTTTTTCATAACACAAGATTCACACACTTGGCCTTTTATCCCTAAAATTCTTAAGTGTTCATTTCTTAAGAATAAGGATATTCTTTTTCATAAGCACACTACAGTTAAACATTGATTTGACATTATGGAAATGCTTTAGTCTAATTTATATTTCACTATTGTCTATTGACCCAGTAATGTCTCATTAACATTTTTCCACCTCCACCATAGGATCCATTCTAAAGGTAGTTATTGTGTTAGGTTTCTTTGATTTAGAGTACTTTTTTCAGTCTTTCTTGTTTTCATGACACTGATAGTTTGGAAGATCATGGTCTTATAATGGGACTTGGGATCAAGGGACCCAGAGTCATGTATGAGTTGGCATTTAAAAGTAAGATGGTACACAATGACCCCTGAAGTGCTGAAAGCATTTTGTAGATTGGTTGACAACATTGAAATTTGATATGGTGCACTAGGATCTAGATTTTTAGCTTATTTTGAGAAAATTTGTCAGTGCTGACCCACATGGAGGTGGTCTTGTGACCTTTGGATGGACTGGAGTTCTCTGTTTCCCCCATTTACAGTTCTCAACTGATCCCTTGGGCTCCATGGGGTGTTTGTGATTTTTAATCCCTTAAAGTCATACAAAAGAAATTTTGGGTTTCATTTAACCCACTCATGTTTTGATCATTATATCCTTTCTCATATAAAACCTACTATTGTTGCCCAAATTTGTGAAATGTACAGGGTTTCATGCTTACTTGGTAAGGTTCTAATAGTGCTGATAGCCTTTCTATCATTTTTTCAGACCATTTCTCCCAACTGGAATTTTAAAAAGTATTTTAAGTCATAATCTGTTGAAGCTTTTCTCTTTGGGATCATAGTTATTTCTTCTGTTCCAGAGTCTTGAGTTGGAACTGTGTCCCACACTAGTGACACAATAGGAGCGAATCCTTGTTAACCCTAGATTTTACCTTTTCCAAGATTATACCTTTTCCTTGATTTTACTTTTTCCTTTGGAATTTGTCCAAGGGGAACATTGTAGCTGGGAGTAGCTTCTGAAAGGTCAGGGGCCTTAAATAAAGTTAAAGTAGCTGCTCTGAACCTTCTAAAGTGGAGGAGAAAGGAATTTCTTTCTTAGGCTCTGACAATTACTTAAATAGCAAGCCTCAGTGAGGTTGGCCAGAGTGTAGGCTTGTTTTATTTTAAGGGGCTTTGTTCGTTCATTCCCTTCTTTACAGTTGTTTAGATTTGATTTGTTTCACAGGACTTTTGTCCCACCAGTCACCTTTTCCCATTAAAGGGAGAAAACACGCATGTTGGTGAAATTTTGGTATTTTTCTCTCTGGTTTCTAAAATTTCGGCCAAAATTCCACTGATTCCCTTTTCAGAATCTTAGGAGAATTCCACTGAGGTTCTTTTAGAGCTGGGTCTGGAAATTCAAGTCTTTAACATATGAAGAACTTAAATCTCATATTTTAAAATTCCTTCATTGTAGATTTCACAATGTGTGACTTAGTCAGGGAGTCTTCCTTATAAAATTTATGTTTTATAGGAAACCAGTAATCTATAAATGGACAGTAGTCCTCTTGTTGAAGTACCCTATTCATCTGCAGGATTGGGAAATAATCTTTTTGTAATTGATCACTGTTTTCACCTCACCCCTTAAGTAGAAAGTAACTGAGTAATACTGATGCTAAGTTTTTTTTCTTGAAAATCAAAGGTAAAACAATCTGGCTCATTTTAAAATACACATACATAAAATTCACTGAGGGCTTTTGAGCCTCCTATGTTAAGATCCTTTCTCTCGGTATGGTATTTGAGCTGGATTCACTTTCTCCCGGTCTTTGATCTTCTGTGGGCATGGTTGGGAGCAGGGGCTAAGGTCTTGACTTATAGCCAGGCTACTTGTGTACAGTGGTTTCCTTTGCGAGGAAGGGTTCTTTAGACCAATTGCTTTGCTGATTTAAAAAAAAATTTTTTCTTACCGGAAGACTCTAAGTCCTGTGTGTCCAATAGTTTTATAAATCTGCAGTTTAATTGGAAAACTCTTGTTCTCTATATTCTTTCTCGCTTCTCCACCATTTTAATCTCTTAAACTTTTGGAAGTGGACCTCATTAACTGCTTTGATTTAGAGTCTCAATTTCTGGTAGTGTTTTTTTAAATTACTACAGAGACTTTTCTGTGGATCTTTCTAACCTGATCTGCTCTGCCTTAGATCTTAACTGTTCATGTGTTTCCAAGCACCTTCCCTGTGATAGCCTGTATCTCCTGTTTGTATGATCGCCTTCTTTAGGGTGAGCTGTTCTGGATTTGGGAGACTACACATGCACGTGTGCCAACCTGCCACAGGTTGATCATCTTCCCTGCTTTGAATTCATCTTCTTTCTTGTTGATCATCTTCCCTGCCTTGAATTCTTTACACGCATTATTGTTCATGACTTTTAAGGAAGCAGAATGACACAAATGCCCAGAGTGTGGGTGGATAGGAGGTGGCCTTTGTTCTAAAGCTATCTGGCCATCAGACAGGCCTTACTGTCTTAATCAGTTGGTTTCCCAAAGCATTCTGCTTCCCTGATAGTAATATCTTTGGCTGTTTATTTAACAAAGGCACAACTCAGTTTGCCTTCCTTTTGTGCTAAACAGGGCTTCAGCTTCAAAGATGAGCTAGTGGCGTTGCCCACAGGGAGTGCCCTATTGTTAGTGAAATGGATGTGAAACAGTGCCACGAGGATTTGAGTAGTCTGCCACTGCCTTTTCATGAAAGACTTGAGTTTTTCCCCTAAAAACTTTTTGAAGGGTCTTTTTGAAGGGTCTCAAGATTGGCTGCTTTTCCTGCAGGAGTCTTCTTCTGTTGCTGGGGCCTGGTCTCCCATGAAGAACTTTGATGTGGCTTTGCCACTCAGCAGCCAGCAGTTGTCTTTCTCACGCCCTCATGCCTGTACAGGGGCCAGTAGCACAGTGGCAATTGCTTATTTATTGAGCTCTCCACTTGCCTTCCAGCTTTTCCCCCTCTAGATAATAAATACTCTAGTCATTACATGTTCCTTCCTTCCTTTGCTACAAGGGAGAAATGAGCTAGGTCCCTGTGATTTCCTTGTTTGGGCTTCAACTAAGTTTCAAAAACTGGGGAAATAAACAGGACACCAGTTGGTTATGGCTCTGTCAAGCCTTCTAAGATCTCAAGGAGCAAGGGGTACCTACTGTATTTAATAATTATTAAAAATTATGTTGATGTTTAAACATATTATTTAGTAGATGATAGGTTTATCATTAACAAAAAGTTTTAGAGAGCGTCTCCACAAATACCTTCTAAAGATGTTAAAATAGTGTAGTGGTTCTCAAAGAAGTCTCTAACCATTATCAGCATCATCTGTGAATTTGTTAAAATTCAAATTTTTTAAGCCCTATTTTAGATCTTCTGGACCAGAATCTCTAGCTTCTGTTTGAACAAGTCCTTTAAATGCTTCAGATTTGTGCTGAAATTTGAGAGTTAACGTGCAAAAACCTTTGACATAGTATTCTATTATTGATAGTGGTAAAAATCAAAATAGAAAGAAATTTTTTACAGGACAGATAGTTTAAAAAATGCATCTTTAGTGTTCATTTTCATTAAGTTTTGTTATCAAGGATAGAACACAACTGAAGTTTAAAGGAGCTAGAATAATGTTTAAAATATTATTTTTGGAATAATATTTAAAATATGCAATGTTCTGCCTTTTGGATAGTCAGTTCAAAATCAGTTTTGTCAGATTCTTCAAGCTAAACAATGATGAAGAATTCTTTTAGAAAAAAATCATTTTACTTTGGTTTTGATCATAGAGAAAAATGGAAACGGGAACCCTCAGAGGATGAACAAGAACAAGGTAGCAGCGCAGAGAGTGAGCCAGAGCAAAAAAGAGTGAAAGCCAGAAGACCTGTTCCTAGAAGGTACCTATCTGCTTGAATGTGTGGGAGAGAGAGGTAGCACTAGAGGGTTGGGGAGACTACTTTGTTGGGATCCTGTGTGTTATGGTTCAGGGATCCTGTGTGTTGTGGTTCAGGGTTTTGAATGCCTATGCTTCACCTCCGCCAGCCTTCGTCATTAGCAAGTGATTAGATGATGGGGCTGTTTATATTGGTTGTTGTGACTGTTTAGAGTATGGATCTCTGAGAGTGAATCTTAGCTTTCTTATTCCAGGTTGGACTAGTTACTAGGAACAGTATACCTTCCATTTTAACAAAAGTTTCCATGTGTTTGGCAAGTGTGCAGGTTTTTGTTAGGAGAACTGATTCTTAAGTTTAAAATACTGTTTGGAAGCGTACTTCACTATTTATTACCTTGTCCATATAGTCTATGTAATATTAAGTAGAGGATGTGCCTGTGTAGAGAAGTAGATCTCAGGTAACTGATGGGTATGTACCTCTAAACTTCTACTCAATTTTGAATTTTGTCAAATAATTTATAGAAGTTTGTTTTCACTTATGTAAATACCAACTAGTGGTCTCAATCTTGCCTTTTGTCTGGCAAACTATTTATGTTCTGGCCATTTATTTTTATTTATTTACCTATTTTTAAAGATAACTTATGCATGCAGAACTAGGGTATAGGCCAGAGGTGCAGTGGGTGAGAGGATTCACCAGAGACAAATTGGGGAGCAGAATAGGCAGACTGATGAAGTATACTGCCAAGGGGAGCAGCAGGCAGGTTAGGAGATGCCATTCCATGCCATGTGGGTCAGTTCCTTGGCCGGGAATCGAACTCTTGCTGAAGTGGCTGCCTCTAGCTTTGTATGCTTTAACTTGTTGTGCCACCAGGGAGGACTCTGTTCTGGCCATTTAGAGGAGACATTTGCCTGTCCCTGGCTCAGTACAGTGTAAACTTGCTCCCTGTATCACCTTCCCCCACAACACCCTTAAATATTTCCACATTGCCTGGCAAAGAGGTACCATCAGTGACCATAAGAGTAACCATCAGTTATACACCCCTTGTATAATTTTATATCAGGTGATCCAGAGGAACAATTAGAACTTTTGCCTCAAAATCCACTGTGTCTCCTATAAAAGATTGAGGGCTGTTGACATTGGACTCATTTTCATATTGCAAATGCAGGTTTTAGTGATAGTGAGTTAGAATCTCAAGGAATGGGGCCCAGGAATATATATTTCTAATATTCACCAGGTGAATCCCATATATATATATGTATGTATGTATGTACATATATAACCCTGTTGTGGGAAATTCTGTCATAAGAGATTTGAAGTATACACCAAGTGACAGTAAAAACTTTGTATTTTTTTATTTCCTTTTTTAGAACAGTGCCCAAATCTCGTGTTAAAAAGCAACCTAAGACTCAGCGTGGAAAGAGGAAAAAGCAAGATTCTTCTGATGATGATGATGAAGATGATGAGGCTCCCAAAAGGCAGACTCGTCGTAGGGCAGCTAAAAACGTCAGGTAGGTTCTGTCTCACAAGGTTTTCACTAGTCTGAGGGCAAGTGTAGTTGGTTAGCCATGATTTCTGTAAGCCTAGGAACACACATCTCATGGGCAGAGGTAGTATCTTCCGGTTGTATTTTGAAATCTGAGTAGTGTTCTTTTATTTATTTATTTTTACACAGAAGAACTGGGGTGTAGGCCAGAGGTGGGGGGTGGGTGGGGCTCTGTCTCCCCACCAGAAACAGAGTGGAGAGCAGAGCAGGTGGATTTACTGAAATACAATGCTGAGGAGTATAGTGGGTGAGACTGGAGAGGTCTGCTGTGCCATGTGGGTCAGCTCCCTGGCTGGGGATTGCCATGGTGGGCCATCATCGTGATAACAGAGACTTAACCCTGAGATCATGGAGACCCTCCCTGAACAGTGTTCTTGCATGAGAGTGGTTGGCCAGTAGGAACCTGGAAGGAATAGCTCATTTCAAACCTTCATTCCTATCAAAGAAGTGCTTCAAGCTCATGTGCTGGTGAGCTGGCTCAGTGATAAAACTTCCTTCAGGTCATCAGTCCTTTTAGGAAAGACGTTTGAGTCATATTCTCACTTCTGAATTGCTTTTTCAATCAGACATTCTTCTAAGGTTCAGTGTATGTAATGATATTTGAGTATAATAATTTTCTCAAGCTTACTAGTCTATATGAAACCTAGTAGAAATTGAAATAAAAGAATAGGTACATGTGAATATTAATATTTTATTTTCTATTAATCAAAGGGCACTTAATTTTTTTTTAGAGGACATACAGATTTCTTTTAGTCTGCATAGAGGAGGTAAAATGGATCTTAGACCTGTTAGTAACTAATTCCAAAGCTGTAAAAGACTTGAGGAAGCTAGCTTATTCCTTTTTCTTCTTACACCTATACTACACCTGGGATGGTTTTTCTTTTGTGTGATTCCCAAACTATCTTTTGTTAATATGTGATGAAAGATTACATTTTCATGTTCTAATAGCAGGGAGTAGGTTTATTGAAGTTCTTGATAATTTGCGAACACTTAAATTTCCTGTTTTTGTTATTGGGAGACAAAATACAGTGTTGAAACATTTAATCTTAGAAATATTGCTTCTCTTTTGCTCTTTTGCATTTTCTCCCATTCATCATGTCTTTCAGTTACTCCTTTTTTTTTTTCATAGAAACAATCTCATTAAAGAAAAACAACACAGAATATCTTTGTAGTTTCCTAAATCTTGCTAACACAAATTGCTGTAAGCATAGTCTTTTTTTATTTCCAAAACATTAGTTAACCTCCTTTAGCAGGAAAAGAAGATCTTGGTCTGTAGGACAGCATGTTGGAGCCAGATAGGTGAAGTTCCTTATTTTGTTGGTATTGTGTTGTTTAACTTTTATTCTGAAAAGGCATTTTCTTATTTTTTGAACTTTATTCTTCATGCAGTTACAAAGAGGATGATGACTTTGAGACTGACTCAGATGACCTCATAGAAATGACTGGTGAGGGGGTTGATGAACAGCAAGATAACAGTGAGACTATTGAAAAGGTCTTAGACTCAAGGCTGGGAAAGAAAGGAGGTATGTGTTTTTGGAAGCTAATACTTTGTATATATCTGCTCAGGAAACTTAATTTCAACTCTGAAATGATGAATTTCACTCCGTGTCCCATATTTTTTTGTGAAAGTTTTCCTGATGCAATCTTTATTAGCTGTGGATGCAGTGATATAGCCAGTTATATGTATTCGAGACTTTAAATCTCAAACTTAATGAAAATGTGTTAATCTATTTTTTAAAGCTTTATTTATTTATGCATATAAGAACTGGGGCATAGGCCAGAGGTGCAGGGGAGGGGGCATGAGAGGATTCACCAGACACAGAGTGGGGAGCAGAACCAGGAGATCCACTGAAATCCACTGCTGAGGGGAGCAGTTCACAAGACAGGAGAAGTCTGCTACGCCATGTAGGTTAGCTCCCTGGCCAGCCAACGACCAAATTAGTGTGGCAGTGACTGTGGATAGCTTCATAATGTTGCGATTTAACCCCTGTTGCCACCAGGGAGTCCCAAAAATGTGTTAATATTTTTACAAGCACCTGTGTAGTAGAGATTTCCTCTTATTCATATTAAACAAGCTGACTTTCAGTTAGTTTCTGAAATTTCTTATGAAAAGCATCATATTGGTTAAATTTATGTTTGGTTGATGGTGAAAATTTTTTTTTTTAAGATTTGTTTGTTTATGCTTACAGAACTGGGGTACAGGCCAGAGGTATGGTGGGTGAGAAGATGTCGATGGTGAAAATTTTTTAACATCCAAATTGAGATACTCCAAACTCAGTTTCTCTAAATAACCATTCCATATAGGTTATTATATCAATTATGAAAACAACATTCAATTCTTTGTCTTTATAGCCCATTCAAATTCACATGCAGTTAAAGAGAATTTATAGAAAACTGGGTAGATGGGTGAGGATGGGAGAGAGGTGATTTTCTTATTTAGTCTTAATATTCATGGGTAGGTAGATTTGTTTTCTCAGAACTAAACAAAAAGATGTTGCTATTCCATTTTATTGTGTTTAGGCATAAGAGCCTCCTTTAATTGCACGTGCAAATTTTGGAATATGTTTAAAGAAGTGTGAAATTTGGATTTGCATTTTGAAAATACTTGGAATAATGATCTTGCTTGTCTGTATTGTCTAAATGTCTGCTTATTTCACATCAAAGTATTTTGGAGCTTCATTCAAAAAGACTCTTTAACTTATTTGGAAAGCTTTTCAGAGTCTGGTTATTATGCTTTTCAAAGTTTAACTGAATCCTTTTGCAGCCACTGGAGCTTCTACTACTGTGTATGCAATTGAAGCTAATGGTGACCCTAGTGGTGACTTTGACACTGAAAAGGATGAAGGTGAAGTCCAGTACCTCATCAAGTGGAAGGGCTGGTCTTACATCCATAGCACATGGGAAAGTGAAGAATCCTTACAGCAGCAGAAAGTGAAGGGCCTGAAAAAACTTGAGAATTTTAAGAAGAAAGAGGATGAAATCAAGCAATGGTAAATATTCTGTCATGGATTAAATAAATGTACTCACAGCCTGAGGAAAGGGAAGGTTTTAAAATAATGCCTAGAGAACACAGCTCTCTAGGATCTCATATTTGTACCTTGATCACTGAAGCTGCTGCTACATGTTTCTGTTTTATGAAACTGATTGAAGACGATATTTGGCCACCAAGTTTGTAGTTTAATAGTAATAGCTAGCAAGTGAAGCAGTGTCATCTTTTTACACTGGATCTTTTTACTCATTGCAGTAAGACTGTGAGATTTGTATCCTTGTAAAAAATTTTATGAGTGTGAAGAGTAAGAGGTGCAGAGCAACTTGGCAAGCAGACCCAGGATTTGAATTCTAGCACTTTGTGTCCAGAACCCAAGGTCTTAAGCACCCTGCTACTTTCCAGTGGTTATGTTGGGGTCATTTAGATCTCAGGGATTATTAATATCCTAGGGTTCTTGGTTTAGATTCACTAAAAATTCACCTTGGTTTTGCAGTCTTCAGATATGATGTGACAAAAATATAACTGCTGAAATTGACAGCCAATGGTGTTTTGAGTCTACTTACACTTTTGAATGAGTTAGTTTGTATATTAATATGTGCAAGTCTAAGGGAACCAGTAAGAAGTATTGGGTTCAACCTTGAAGGCAAACCTGCCAGTTAATGTGAGCAAGTAGAAATAGAGACAGGTAGCTTTTAATATCAGTTTTTACTACTAAGTAAAATGTGCTACCTCATTAAATCATATATTGATCAGAACCAAAAATGTATTCCTAAGATAGGTTGTAAAGCAATTAGAAATTTAAATTCCACATAAGCATAGTATTATTGAATTTCAAGTTGCTCTTATCCCTTCATAGAATTTTGGTGTCAAGAATAACTAGTTTTCCAGAAAAGCCACATTTAATCATTTCTAAAGCCTGTCCATATATGTAAAAATGTTTGTTTTTAACATCTGGAAGACAGTTTGATTGTGCTAGTCTATTAGGCATGTGAGTTTATCACATGAACTTACCATACAAAATGGTTATTTTTAGATTTCTTTATCAGTATGCCATAGTAGCAGTTCTCTACTACTGATTATAAGGTTCTCAGTGTTTTCTAATAGTGTATAGGTTTCGTAAGCTCTCTTATTGCTGGTAAAAGGTTACTAAGGGGTAGATGGAGGAAAGACTGTTTACTATATTTGGCTTTGCTTCAACATGTGTGTATAGCTCCTCAAACCTCATCATTATGTACTCTTTCTTTATGTCTTCTCTCCAGGTTAGGGAAAGTTTCTCCTGAAGATGTAGAGTATTTTAGCTGTCAACAAGAGCTGGCCTCAGAGTTGAACAAACAGTATCAGATAGTAGAGAGAGTGATAGGTAAGTATGTGGAGGTTTCTGTCAGGGTTTGAGCTCTAGGAGTAATGTAAATAAAATAATGCAAAAATGGGTTTACTTTTTGAGAACAGATGAATGCCTGGATTCATTTTGAGGGGAAAACTAAAAAGATTTGCTGGTAATCATGGATGTGAGGGATAAGAAAAAGGTGTCAAGGATGAAGCCAAGATTTTTGACCTGAGCCTAGGAGACTAGATCCACCATTTCTTTAAAATAGAAAGACCAAGAGAAGGGCTTATATTTGGAATGGAAATCAATAGCTTAGTTTGATCTTTCTAAGTTTGATTTCTTTGTTAGGTGTCTTAAGTAGAGAGGATTGTGAAGGCTGATAGGTGAACCAGGAAACTAGGACTCTTAGACTGGTCTGGATATTTAAATTTGGGAAGTTATCAGTATATAAGTAGTATTTAAAGCCTAAGACTTCATGAGATATCAGAAGTAGAGTATACATGCTGCGACTGAGAGCATTCCAGCTTTGGGAAGTCATGAAGAAATCAGCAATGAGGTTGAAAATGAAGAGCCAGTGAGATAGAAAGGAGTGTGTGTGCTGGAGCCGTGTGATGACAGGGCTGAGAACCAGGAAATGCTGCCAGTCAGGTAGTGAGGACTGAGACTGGACCCTGAATTCACAGGTCTGATTGGGGTGGTTCTTAGAGTGAAAATACCTGGGGTGCTTCTAAAGTGTGATCTGCAGAGCATCAGAACAGTGATGGGTGATAGCTGGAGAGGGCCTTGAGAACAAGACTTTAAGATGTAAGATACTGGAGTATGCCTGCTTATTCATGGAACTAAAAATACCTCCATTTATGTCACCATTTTCCCCTTTTTTGTGTTTGTTTAGCTGTGAAGACAAGTAAATCTGCACTGGGTCAGACAGATTTTCCGGGTAAGCAAGAGCTCGTGTTTATAAATATGGTTTAGCATTTAAGAAAATTTCCTGTTTTGCGGTGTTGAGTTTCACCATGTGCTGTGTCACTGGTTGTATGTCAAGCAGAATGCCATTCCCTCTTCTAATTGACAGTTGCTGATCTATATGTTCTTTACATGTACAACAGCTCACAGTCGGAAGCCGGCACCTTCAAATGAACCCGAGTATCTATGCAAATGGATGGGGCTGCCATATTCAGAGTGCAGCTGGGAAGATGAAGCCCTGATTGGGAAGAAATTCCAGAGCTGCATTGACAGTTTCCATAGTCGGAACAACTCTAAAACCATTCCCACAAGAGAATGCAAGGTGGGTGATGGCCACTAGGTTTTGGTTTCTCACAGGAAATTCAAAGGGCTGATCACATAGATAATAGGAAGAGAAAATTTTATAAAAAGAAATGATGGTTCCCACTTTGAAGGGAAAGATGACTTAACCTTGACATCAAAAAAGAATAATGAAAATAAAGGTGAGAATGAGAAATAACGACTCTGCCAACTTCTTTAAATCTTATGACTGACAGATATCGCTAGAGGATATTTGAATACTTGAAAGGATTTAAACATTTTAAAGAAGTAATGGGGAAAAGAAGCATCTCAGAATTCTACCTTCGAAATTAAATACACAATCTTTCTTATTTGTTAGATTTAGTTATACAAATACTCTTCCTTCTTTGGAATTTCTCACCTCTGTCAGATGGCGTGCCTTGGTCTTCGATAATAAAGGTCAGGCATGGGTTCTGTCTCTGAGACCTTGACATTCATGTTCATGGCATGGGCCCTCTCTCTGAAAAGCAGTGTCTGATGAGTATGGTAGAGACAGAGGTCACTGAGTTCCAGTGTCACTGAAGAGGCTTCAGAGAGGAAGTTGTGGCCCTTGAACTGACCCTGGTCTTGAAAGAATGATGGGTGCTGGACAGACAGACAAAAGGGGCCTAGGTTTTGGCCTTCCCCTGGGATGATCTTACAGTGCAATTTGAAGATGCCCACAGGCCATGACTGGAAGAGAGAGAGGTATGATATGGTTAGTGCATCAGGTCAAAGTGTGTGTGTGTGTGTCTTGATACCTTGAAGGAATTTGGACTGGATACTGATAAGCTTATCCTTTTGAGGACAGCAGCTTGAAAACAAGATTTCATTTAGAAGATCCATCTGAAGGCAATGTGTGGGAGACTCCAGGATAAGCATGCTTATTCAGATTAGGTTAGAGAATCTGATCCAGCCAGGAAGATCTCAGAGCAGTCTATAAAGGAAGAATTAATTGGCCAATGTCAGGATTGGATGGGAGAGGCATCGGCGGGGGGGCTGGGGGGGGTTGGTGGGAGGCAACCAGATAGATTTTGGCTAGCGAGTGAGGAGTCAGATTTCATTTACTGCTAACTGTTCAAAGAGGAGCGTGAAATTACAAGAATCATTTTATTGAATCCACAGTCATATAGTACTTCTCATGATGAGGCACTAATCTTCAGAAAAATGCTCCCTGAAAAAATGCTTGTAGTCAAATAATTTTGAGACACATTCTATTCTAAGTAAAAGTCTCCTGTAAATTCATAATACACACAGGCATGTTAAACTTTGAAAAGTCACAGCTAGTGAAATTTATATATATTTAATCCGTTGTTTCCAAACTGATTTGGCCATGGAATCTACAGTTTTGCAAATCACAGAGACATGTCCTTATTAGATTGCTTTTCTTTATACTGTTGGAGGTGAAAACAACAATCTTACCTTCAGAAAACTGAACTCATATTGTTGGGAGCTTCAGGTAGGTGGGCTGCATTGTCAGGGTTCACAAATGGCTGCTGTTAGCAAAGTGTAACAGACCTGGCCAGAGGCATTATTTGTACAGGTTTGAATGAAATGGCAAAGATGGATACAGGAGTCTCACTGCTACACAGTAGAGATAATGTGGCGTATGTGCTACTTAACAATGTTCACAGAATTAATTCAGCAAAGAAGCAAGTTAGTTAAGTAATAGTTTGAGTTGCAGTCTGACTTAGGAGTATATACCATGGTGAGGGCTTATGGGCCAGGCTGGGGTTGCCTGAGAAAGATGTCAAATGTGAATGTCTTTGTTTTGGTGCTGAGCATATAAGTCATGACTAGTATTTTAATAGAGGAACAAGAAGAAAATTCTCTTCTTACCTGGAATTTATTAATTTTTTTTTCTTAGGCCCTGAAGCAGAGACCACGATTCGTGGCTTTAAAGAAACAACCAACTTATTTAGGAGGGGAGAATCTGGAACTCCGTGATTATCAGTTAGAAGGTCTCAACTGGCTTGCGCATTCCTGGTGCAAGTAGGTAGAAAGATATGTTTGCACTTTTCTTTACTGTTTGCTGGCTTCTTTATTGCTGGATGCTGCTCAACTGTTTATTATAGGAAAAAATCATGCACTTGAGAGAAGTCTCATCCTGGGGGATTTTAAGCTGAAGTAAAGAATAAAAACATCATTAGTTTTTTGGGGATAATTTGTCATAGCCAGAAAAATATTATTCATGAATATAAGTAGCAAGTCAGTTTGCCTAAATCTGGTGTGAAAGAAGTTAGTCTCAGATTGTAAGAAGGTATCTTTTAAAATTCATTTGTGTTTTAAACCAGTGAAACCTTTAACTTAATTTCTTCTCAAGGAAACAATTTTTCTGTACAGTATGTGAGTATACCCCACCTGACTCTGCTTTATGTTCAAACCATTTAGTGAAACCTTTAACTTAATTTCTTCTCAAGGAAACAATTTTTCTGTACAGTATGTGAGTATACCCCACCTGACTCTGCTTTATGTTCAAACCATTTAGTGAAAGGCCTTGGACAATTGAACATGTGGAATTGTCCTTTCTTCTTTGTAACCACTTTCATCTTGCAGAAAAAGAGAGAGATGAAACAATGACAGTATTTGAGATTTAAAGGTACTTTGAGGTAGTACTTCTAAATTTTATTTACCAAATCCACTTGTACACGCAGGCATGCCTAGTTTGTAAGTTTTAAGGCTCCATCGAAGATTTGAGAACTTAAGTCATGAGCAGACATCATTTCCCTGTTCTCATAGAACATACAGTATGATAGGTATCTTTAATACATACTTATAAATTCCTCCCTCATATGCAGATTCGTATTTTTTTTTCAGTGTTCCATAGAAAAGCAAAAATTCTTATTATAAAACTAAAACACAGCCTGAAAATAGAAATGTGAGCTTTTTTCACTGCAGTAAAGCTGGTTTCTAGTTATAGACACATTTAGAATGACTTCCCCATAGACGCCACCCACCATTTCTTATCACATAAAATCTAATACAACATTTAACATTCATTTATGAAAATTGAGAGGTTTTTAGGTTTTTCAGTTTATGTGGTTGAACAGTGAGTCCTGATTTTTATTTTGAATTGTTGGATAACTATTTCTGTTTCAGAGACTTCTTAAAGGAAGGATACAGCTAGTTTGATCCTTAAGGCCATATACAGTTGAGGGCTTTTAGGAGCAAAGGTGTCTTGAGGTATTAGGTTCATTGTAACATGTTTCATGTGGAAGCCTTGGCCAGCACTTTGTACTTTAACTAACCAATTCAGAGTCAAGCAACAGTTAGGCCCTGGTCCCCGGACCCTTACAGAAAGTAACATGCCATTTTGGTCTAGTTTTAGGAAAACTGGTAAATTGATCCAAGTCTACTTCAGTGTATATTTGTTGACAGTGGCAGCTTGTAAGGAGAAGGAGATACTGGAGAAAGTTATACATACTTCCTCCCCCATTAATGTGGAAGGGTGAGAGAAATAAAAGGGGAAATAAATACTCAAGAGAAAACGCTGACTCTGAACTTCAGTGTCCCTGAGATTTGTAGTGGTATGGCTTTCTTATTCTCCCTATATATTGTTTTGTTCTTTTCTGTACTTCCCCCTAAAATTAATCATTCAATGGAAGATTGAAGGTGCTTTAAAAATCTGTATTCTTGGTGAACTAAATGTTTTTCTAATCATTTAAGCCAACCTTAACTTGTATATTCCTTTTGGTTCCCTCTGCTTCACTGTTAATGCTTGTAAGAGATGTATTTGTAGTGTGGTTTCCAGTGACATGTTTTCTAGAACCTTTTCATAAGGTTTTCAGCCTTATGTCATTCATGTACTCCTAATTTGCTGCCAAATGAGCTATTCTGTATTTCTTGACCATGCTTTCCTCACTCTGGCCATTTCTTCAGATTTTAATTTTTACATCTGGTTAATCCTTTCTTATTAAAATAAGGTCCATCTTTGCTAAAGCAGTGTTTCTCCAAGTGTGGCCCAAGGAGCCCAACTGCATCAATATCTTCAAAAGTGCTTGTTAAAAATACAAATTCCTGAGCTGTTTCCCAGATACTCTGACCCAGTAGATCAAGTTGGGGGTAGTGGTTCAGAAATGCAATCTACAGCCTCTGCCAGCTTTAGAGTGTAGCATGATTAAAGCATGCTCTGTGCACTCATGGCCAGTGTCAGCCCCATCACAGTGCCAGTGGTGTGCAGTCAAGTGGGTAGGTGATTTGAGCAAAAGCACATGGTTATCATGCCAGGGTGGCCTGTGCCTGCTTTCTGTATCAGTGGAATACATGTGCCTGTGGGAAACAAAATCTTGATTATACTTAGAGCTCTTTTTTTCCTGCTATTTAACCTTCTATTGTGTTCCTCTTGTAGAGGCTTAATTGTAAATGAGAGAAAGTGCCTTCAAGGCTTAGAATTGATGTCTTACTCAGTTGATGTTGTGAGGCACGGGTGTCATCACTATTGGTGCACATAACTGTTTTTTTTGTGTGTGTGTGAGCTAATAATTATTTTTTTCTTTTTTTCTTTTTTTCTTTCCACAGAAGTAACAGTGTAATCCTTGCTGATGAAATGGGCCTAGGAAAGACCATCCAAACCATATCATTCCTCTCCTACCTGTTCCACCAACACCAGCTGTATGGCCCCTTTCTTATAGTCGTCCCTTTATCCACCCTCACCTCATGGCAGAGGGAGTTTGAAATCTGGGCACCAGAGATTAACGTAGTGGTTTACATAGGTGACCTGATGAGCAGAAATACGGTGTGTAAACAAAAATTGAGATAGACTCTGTGTTATAAATATGAATGTATGTAGGAAATTGATCTAAAGTCATTATAGTCTTTAGTAAATCACAAAGTTATGATTCTGATAACTGTGTCATGTCCCTAATATTGGGAGGTGTATATGTCACAAAAAAATTCCCACTCACATATTCCTTTAATGCTTATTTAATTAAAAGCATTAGCGATACAGAAATGGGAAGCTTTTATTTGGAGTGCAGTAGTCAGCTTCTTCTCTATTCTATTTCCAATGCCTTTGGGGATAGCAATTCTACTTTTACTATCAGAGCAAAGAAATTACTGAAAATAATTGAGTTCTTAGAATTGCTTTTTAACCTTGTAGATGGTGAGTTTGCATGACCCATAAGAAAGAACAGAGAAACGATGAGGAGCCATCCTAGGGGGCAGAAATGGGAATTGTCTTATTAAACTTAACTTGATGATCAGGAAGTTGGAGCTCAGGGGCTTATGTTTATTTCTGTTAAGTAAATCTTTTTCTTAATAATTTCTTTTGGCAAAGCACCTGTTATGTACTAATATATATGTAAAAACACCCCATGCAGGGTGTTCTATGTATATTACCTGTGATTCAGTCTTCCAAGTGGTTGCTATTTTTTTTTTCCAGCCAACTTGTGAAGAAATTGATTCAGAGTCAATATGGCAGATCTGGGGTTGAGACAAAGGTGTCTGGTCCCAGACGTTTGCTCTTCATTACTCCATATATGTTAACTGTTTCTGGGGGACTTGCTCATGAGGAGACAGGGCTTTAGGAACTCTTCACCCTTTGAGATATACATCATGTTCATGTTATGCAAATTCAAATTTATTTCTCTCAGATATTTTCTGTGGCATTGCTTAATGTTAACCCTGGCAGATTTTATTGCCCTAAGTTAGATTTTCTAAGCAAGTTCTTAGATTTGTTAATTTACTTGTTAATCATTAGAAAAGAAGAGAAAAACTTCCTTAGGTTATGCAGAATGTCTTCAAGTACTATGTCTAAAGATGAAGACAAAGAAAATAAATTCTGAGATATTGCGAAGTCAGGAAGTTTCCTCTGCAGTTTCCAGTATCTCTTTTCCTTCTTGCTGGGGATCACCTGGAGGCACCGCTGGACTGTTCTCAGTTTCAAGTTGACAACCAGACTGCCAGGGCTTTGTCATGGGCCATTGTACTTGCAGGGGGTCCAGTTAGACCTCAGGGTGAATGCGTTACTTAATATGTTCCTTTACCCTGGCATTATTATTGTTCATTTTAAATGATGTTTCCATCCTATGAGACTCCCATTCTTTTTTTCTTGGGGCCATATCTTTCTGTTCTATCATTTTTGAAATTTTTGAGAGAGCCAGAGTCTGGAATTTGTTCTGCTTGTTAATTAATATGTGCCCTATACCCAAAATAAGTGAGATGTATTTCCTTAAGAAAATTCTCATTCTAGGAGATTTCTGGATTATTTCAAGCCACTAGGGTTCTATTGCTAACAGTGCATTTTCTTAGGGGGGGGGGTGTGTTGGGGGAGGGGAAGGCATGGTAGTTATATTTGAATTTTGGCTATAAAATCTTTGCTGTGAGGTGATTAGTTAATCACTCTTAATTCTTTTACTGGTCTATAATAGGTTGCCTGGGTCAATTTAGAATGGCTAAGGTATTAAGTTCTAATTAGATTTATTTTTATATTGGGCATTTTTCTATTGAATTTATTACAAGACTTGCTGGTAATACAGAAAGATGAAAGGGGAAATTGTATCTTAATTACTGTTATCTTTTACAGATCCGGGAATATGAATGGATTCATTCTCAGACCAAAAGGCTGAAGTTCAATGCACTTATAACAACATATGAGATCCTTCTAAAAGATAAGGTGTGTAATTGGTAGCTAAAAGGCTAAATTGTGTACAGTGACTTTTCTGAATGGTGTGGGCCCTGGCTCCCATTTGCCATGTTATTTTTCTTCCTATTTAAAAAGGCAAACAAATCTATAAAGAATATTAAGTTTATAAATGAAACAGAAAACCTTAGAGTCGAAGGGGACCTTAGGTGGATTAGTCCAGTTGATTCAAACAGGCTGAAAGGATATGACATCTGTGACGTGCCTGAGATTCTAGTCAGTCATTGGAAACTGGGTCTGAACGCTATCTCTGGCATTTCCCATTATGTTGTTGCTCAGTTTTCTCCAGTATGGATGATGCAAATGGACTCCATGAGGAGAATAGAAAAACAAAGTCCTTTAACAATCTCTTCTATAAGTACTTTCTATAATGCGTGTGGCAGGTGTTCTCATTGATGCAAATCAGCATAAAAAAGTTCACATTGGTAATTCTTGATGTTTCTGTGTTTCTGGGTTGGGGTGGAGAATAGGCAATAGAAAAATCTTAAGGAAGAGGAGACTGGAAAACCATGTGTTTTCTTGTTTTTGTGTTGTTTTTGCCCAGCATACCAGTTTGTATGTTCTTGTCTTGGAAATTCCTTTGCAGTCATACCTGGTATATGTGGCCCACTAATACCTTGTAGGTGGTGACATGCTCTTTTGAGTAGACACCAATTTGACAGCTAATGAAATAAACAGAAGAGTCCTAAAATAATCTTGTAGAGAAGAATATATATGTGTCTGTGTGTACCTTTGTGATGGTATTTGTACAAAGATAATTAATATCGCAGTACTTTTTGGTGTTCTTCTGACCTCGTGGCTCGTTCTGTTTTGTTTTCACTTTAGACTGTGCTGGGCAGTATTAACTGGGCCTTTCTGGGAGTGGACGAAGCCCATCGGTTGAAGAATGATGACTCTTTATTGTATAAAACTCTGATTGATTTCAAGTCCAACCATAGGCTCCTGATTACAGGGACCCCTCTTCAGAATTCCCTCAAAGAGCTCTGGTCCTTGCTGCACTTTATTATGCCGGAGAAGTAAGCTCCTTCTTCTGTATTTCTAAAGATGCAAAAATGTCTGACGTGCCAGTGTTTAAAAAAAAATTTTAATAGATCTTAGGGAAAACAGATGGCCTGGTTTGGGGAAAGCAAAACATTAAACTGAGGCAGGAATAAAGATAGCAATATATTCTGTAATAAATGATAGAAGGAACTAAGCATATTATCTATCAAACAGTTGAATGAGTTAGTACTTTGGGAGACATAATTGGTAAATAAGGAAAATTCACAACTTTTCCCTGTTATAAGGCAGTCTATATAATTGAAATGAAGTATACAAGGTACATAATTGAACAAGTATTAAAAAAAATCTAAACTCAAACCAAAGCATCAGCTGTGTTTAACTGCTGTGTCTATAGCTCTTATATTTAACTGATTAAAGAATTGTGGACTGTTCTTGTTGAAAAGATTTTTTATGGCAGAGATGATGTTCACTTTTATAAAACCTACAATTAATCAGTGGTGTTTGATGAGTCTTAAAGTTTGATGAGTCTTAAAGTCTGACTTTGTTGCCATGTTGCTGAAGACCCCTCTGAGTCTGCCTCCCACAACACTGACTCCTCACCACTTTCTCCACCACTCATTATGCTTCCAGCCATTTTCTTAGTCTTGTATGCTTCACATTTTGGGCTCGATAATTCTTCTTTGCGGTGGGTTGTCATTTGCATTATAGGATGTATGGCAGCATCTGTGGCCACTACATACTACAGATGCATTCCTCTCCCTTAGTTATGACAACCCAAAATTCTCCAGACATTTTCATATGTCCCTCACAGGACAAATTTATTACCAGTTTGGAAGCATTTGTAAGACAGTTTCTGATATCTCCCACACTGCTGATTCTCAGCCTTTCTCTGCCAGTCTTGCTGGCTGCTCATTTGGGTCCTCTCTCATAGAGTGTTGTAAGTCCACAGCTATCACTCCCCTGAGCCTGAAGTCAGTTGTCTCATTTACTTAAACATTTTGTTCTACATTCTGTAATGAGTTCCCTATTCATCAGGTATTATTACTAGAAGCCCATGTTTTTATGAAGTATGGTTTTCAAAGATATAAATGCTGTAAAACAGATAATATAAAATATTTAGATAGTGGGGTTATCAATTAGTTATTAATCATTATTTTCTGAAATAGAAAACTTTCATACATATAGTTTCTTATTTTCCCATATTTGATCCTTTTGATACATTGGAAATATCACCACATGGTAGATATGAATATGCTATTTTTTTTCTTTTTTTTATTAAAAAGTTTATTTTTACATCATTTTGCACATTTTTTTTTTCATCTCAATTGTAATCCCCACGGGTTTCCCATCACCAAATCACCCCTGTGCCACCACCATAGTCCCGTGCATTTCCCTCCCTTCCCCCCCCCAGAATATGCTATTTTTATGATAAAAATAATATCTGGATAATAAATAGATGGGACTCTAGATCAATTCCAGGTATTCTCTGACCAAGGACAAAATCTTTGAACTTTAGATTCTAAGAGAAAAATAAGTATCTTCACAGCAGGGTGAAAGCACCTTGCAGAGGAAGGGTCCTGAAGCTAGGAGATATCAGGGCCTGTTACCTGGAAGTGGCATATGGTTTGTGGTCTCCAGTAGTACTCTAACTTTGCCCTGTGTACTTAGCGCTAGAAGTGGAAGGTAGGGATTTTGGTTCCTAAATGCTGATAATTCATCTTTTGCTGTTATTAAGCAGCTGCGGCATTCTACCCAGCATGGACTGGGCTACATTTTGAGACAAGTTTTCCATGTCCCACTTACACAGTTGAAGAGAGGGAAATCTACATTCTTCTATAGGTGACAGTTTTTCAGGTAGTGCTTTCTAAAGTTTTCCTTTTGGTCATTTGAATTATACATGGAATAATGGCTGGGTCTTAAACATGCAGTTTTTTCCTGTGGAAGAGAGCCTTTTGTCTTTGAAATCTTCTATTTTAGAACATTGTCATTTATAGGTATTTTTTTTTTAATGCTGCTTTTTACAAGGATGCATATAAAAAAGGAAACCCATTAGTTAAGAAGTCGAGACTTTTTGTTCTTTCTGCCTGAGCTTGCTGTGTGGATGGTGCCAATCCTGTGTGCTGTTTTCTCACCGGTAGCAGTATCTCTTAAGCATTTTATGAACTAAGAAATGGCAGCAGATGCTCTTGCGGTCTCTGACTTCTGCTCTTTCAGAGCAGAGGCTTGAGTAGTTGCTTGAATTTGTTAGTCAGGGAGCTGATTAGACTTAAGCAAAACAGGGCTTTCTGGTAGCAGACCTCAGGGCAGCAATTAGGCTCCTGGGGTTTAGCAAGCCTCAGTTCATAGCTGTTCTCTCACCTTCTCACCTTCCCACCTTCAGACTGTGCACACGTTAAGCTAGTTTTCCCAAGTGCATCTTTGGCTTTCTACTGGCAAGCAAGGTACATTTTAATTAACCTTCATGAAACACATTTCCTTTATTTAATTTTTTTTTGAATGAAATAATAATGTCTAATTCTGAGTTACAAAACAGATCTTTTGGGTAACCAAGGTTGGTGAAATTAAAATTTAATCATGAAAAACTTTTACCAATAGAATTCAAGCAACATGATTATGGATGACAAAATTAAAATTTATTTGTTAGTATTAACTGTAGTATTTATATCACTTCTTTTGCCTGGAGTATAGTCTTGGTTTGCTATCATTATTATCCATTAATTTTTTTGAAATCTTTGAACAGTGAAGAATATGGATGATTGAAATTATGTAACTTTTGAGTGATGACAGCTGTAATAATAATAGCCCCATTAATTATTTGACCTCAGAATTTCATTTTCTCAAGAGATTGCAGCTTTTTAAAGATAGCTTATGATTAATTATGATCTACTGAAATACTTTCAGAACTCTGGATCCAGTCTCAGAATTGGAAATCTGTTGTCTAGTAGACTAATAATACTTCTCTCTTGCCTGCCCCCTCCATATTTAAGAGCTAGTGACTGATAAGCTGAAAAAAATTATTTTTCCTTCTAGAAAAGATTTTTTAGTACAGATTTTTTTCCCACCTAATTGCTTTTGAGATAAATTTTAGTTGGAAAACTGCTTTATGTAAATAAGTAAAATTATACTAATTTATACCTAGGTTTGAGTTCTGGGAAGACTTCGAAGAAGATCATGGGAAAGGGAGAGAGAATGGCTACCAGAGTCTTCATAAAGTGCTAGAGCCTTTCCTTCTACGGAGAGTCAAAAAGGATGTGGAGAAATCCCTTCCTGCTAAGGTGGAACAGATCCTCAGGGTGGAGATGTCTGCTCTTCAGAAACAGTATTATAAGTAAGTCATTGGTGGGGTTTGGCTCAACTGGGGTTGAGAGCAGTACCATGATAGATACTTGACAAATTCCTTTTCTAGTGAAGCTTCAACAGATTTATGTAGCAATTTATTTATGTGCAGAAATAGGAAATTTTTTTATTCTGCCTTTTTCATTTGGGTCAGAATTTGCGTAATACTTTTTATTAAGTGACCTGAAGTATCTATTAAGTTTTAATGCTAATTCCCCTACTGCTAAACAGGCATATTTACTTGTTTATGTTCTTTGCCATTTATTCAGACATGTTTTAGGCTTCTGCAGTGTGCCAGGCATTCTTCGAGATCATGGGAATATGAAGATGAGTGGAATATGTCCCTACCAGCAGCCTTAAGTGTAGTAGGGAAGACAGACTTGAGGACAAGTACAATAGCATAGTGTTGTCTGATAGCTGAGGCATATACACGGGGTCTGTGGAGAGCAGAAGTGCTCACCTCTATACTGAAGGGTGAAGACACTTTTCTTTCCTGCACGGTTGCATCCAGATTGTGGACTTGGTTTAGGGTCTAATATATTAAAGATAAAATGTGATGGGTTTGAAACAGGGGCCAGTAAATAACTTGGTTGTCCCTGGCTTTAGTTTGGATGATTTAAAGTTGGATCTAGAATAACTGAAGCTAATGAGAATTGACATGAAAATTGGTCTTTTAAGTAAAAGAGATCTGGTGATTTTCCTAATAATATTCTCAGCTTGCTCTTAATATAACTAAATGAAAACAAGGTTTTAATTTTCAAAACTGCTATCTGACCTGATTTTTTTTAATTAAAATTTTTATTATGGGAAAACTCAAATATGTACAAAAATAGAATAGTACTATTCTGTTTTTATTCATTTACTCACATACTTTAGCTTCAATAATTAACTACTCATGGCACATTTTACCTTTTGCATCTCTACCCCTATCCCAGGTAGTTTGAAACATTCCAGGTATATACCAAAATATCTCAGTTGTATTTTTGAAAAGGAAGGACTCTTAAGTTTTATTGTTGTTAAACACATTTCATTACTACTGTCATGCTTTAAGTGACTCTAGAATTCCTTAATAGTTTTATAATGTCCAATTGATGTCTGCTTTTTTGGTTGCTATGTACATATACACATTGTGCAATGTCTTCATGTATACGTGTGCTTGTTTGCTCTGGGCTCAAGGTAAATTCCTACATTATGATTGGCTGATATATATCTTAAGTTTATTTTTAGTCCATTTTTTTCTTTGTCAATTTTTTAGGTAAGGAAACTAAATGTATATTCTATAGATTTTCCTGACAATCTGAATTTTGCTGATTCCAACTTCATGACATAATTTAACATTTTCTTCCAAACTCTGTGCATTCATAGAGAAATGTAGAGGCTTGACCAGACTCAGTTCAGTTTTGTAGGTTGCAAAGGTATATTCTTTCACAGGAGATATTAGCATTTATTATGTAACATTAGCAAGTGCTGAGAAGCTGTGCTTATATTAATTAACTAGCGATTACAAAATGATACTTAAATTTGTTTAGTTACTTTATTGTTTATTGACTGCAACACTTCCCTAAAAAGAAATTTCTCTGTATCAGATGAGAAACTGAATTCATATAAGACAAACAGAATAAAGATTTGATTTCTTGTAATTTTTGTCTCTTCAAAAATGTTGAAGATAATGAGGTTTACTTTGGCATGATTATGAATTAATTGAGGAACGTTTTTGTTTTTAAGTTTGTTGTATTAATTCTGTATTATTATATATACTCAAGATCCAAAGGCCTCATTTTTAGTCAATGGAAGCTTACTCAAGCTGGTTCTGAGTCCTTTTGACATAATCCTAGCAATAGTTGTTAACTTCTTGCTTCCCAGAATAAATTTTCAGATTTGCCTTGTATGTATCCTGCCTCAGCACTAGACTAAGCACATCTCTAATTAGCTCTCCTTGCTACCTTATTGGAAAGTGGTATTTGGAGGCCATAAACTGGACATTAGAGTACTCATTGCTGCTGCAGAGGACAGTATTCGGTCAAATAAAAAAAAATTTATGCATACAGATCTGGGGTACAGGCCAGAGGTACAGTTGCAGTGAGAGGATTCACCAGAAACAGAGTGGGGAGCAGAACAGACAGATGGACAAAGTACATGGCGAAGGGGAGGAGCGGGCAGGTCAGGAGAGGTCTGCCGCGCCATGTGGGTCACCTGCCTGGCTGGGGCTGAAACTCGTGCTGAAGCAGTTGCGTCTAGCTTTCTAGTGCTGAGCTTTAACTTGTGCCACCAGGGTGGGCCCTTAGTCGTCAATTTCACTGGACAAAATTTGGAGGTTTGTTTTTAAAGCTGTTTCTAAAATGTTTAAAAACTCATTTCACCTTTTTTTTTTTATCACTTCACTTTTTTCTAAGGCTTGTGTGGTGGTAGAGTTGATATAAAAGTTTTTTTATTTTTTATTTTACTTTTCTAATGCTGTTGTATGCTTATGTACAGTATTTACAGTAGTTCGAAAGTCAGAACTATAAAGCCTGCTATAGACAAAAGAAATCTAGCTGCTATCTCATTGTCTCTGTCCTTGATAATATTATTATTTAAAACAATTTCAGTATTCATATTCCTTTTCAAAGATTTATTTATTTATGCATACAAGACCTGGGGTGTAGGCCAGAATGTAGGAGACAAAGTGGGGATCAGAACAGGTAGAGTGACTGAAATACACTGCTGAGGGGAGCGTAGGCGAGACAGCATAGTCCTGCTGTACATGTTGTTTAGCTCCCTGTTAGGGATTGAACTTGCTGCTCCAGTAGCTGTTGATAGCTTCATAGTGCTGAGAGTTAACCATTGTACCACCAGGGAGGCCCTATTTTCTTTATTTTTAATGTAAAAATATGAGCAAATATATTTTAATATTTTAATTGCCTCCATTTTTGCTACAAGTTGTAGTATATTGTGTATTCTCTCCTACTTGGCTTTTTCACTTAAAGACACGCTAAAGAAAACTGTAGCAGTTGATAGACATTTGCCTCTCTTGTTATGTGCTGTCCCACCAATGTCCTTCCTTCCTTCCTTCCTTCCTTCATTCAGTCTAGTAATGGCTATTCTCAGTGTTTTAAACACTTTGCTTGTACAATTTGTGCTGCAGTGAAAATCCCTCTACATCATCTTTAAGATAGATTCTTATAAGTCTGATTGCCAAAAGTGTAAAGAAATCCCACTACTCAGAAAAAGGTCCTTTTAATATTTGGTGATTTGTGCTTAAAGCTAATAAACGAAATGTGTGGATATGTGTGTGTTTCCCCTCCGTTCTTTCCAAATTAGACATGCAGCACATTTAATGTGAACTTTGTGTAGTATAACACACTTAACAATTTGGATGATACATTAGCTTCTGTCTTATGGTATACTTTATTTAAACATCTATTTTTTTTTATGACTTATTTTCACTTTTATGCTGTAACAGAAAGTGTTAGCTATAATCCTTCGTTCGTGTGTGTGTGTGTGCTTGTAAATTTTGTGGTCTTTTTCCTTTTAATATTCCTTCCTCTATTCAGTGAGGTTGAAACACCCATTCGAATGACTAACATTCTGATTTGACTGGAGATGTGAGAGGTTCTGCTTTAGGTGGCTGGAGGTGCAAAGTAAATTTTTTTCCTTTTTAATGTTTCTTTCCTCCTCTTCCCCTCCATTATCTGTTCTCTTCTAATCTTCTTGTATCCACAAACCTCAGTGTCTTTGACTCTAATATCTTTGTCATCTTAATTTGCAGATGGATTCTGACTAGGAATTATAAGGCTCTTGCGAAAGGAACGAGAGGCAGCACATCTGGTTTCTTGAATATTGTGATGGAACTGAAGAAATGCTGCAACCACTGCTACCTGATCAAACCCCCTGAGGAAAATGAGAGGGAGAATGGACAAGAGAGTCTTCTGGTGCGTGGCAACATTGTTTACCCTCTCAAAAGTTTTGTTTCTGGAGATGATCTTTGTCAGAAATGCTCCTTTTCCTCCCTGATGATTCTTCAGGGAGCATTAAAAGAAGTTTGAAATACAGGTGAAGAAAATGAAATAAGTAGGAAAAATCTGGAAAGTATAGTGTCAGGGTCGCAGGTGCCATGTAAAGTGCATTTCAACCAGATCGCAGAAGACAGTCCTAAAGATGGTTTTAAAAATTTGAACTTAAAATGCCATATGGTTTCACATATGTGGAAGGGAAAACAAGCAAAACAAAAACAAACCTTTAGAAGGGGAGGGAGAAAGTAGATTTTGGGGAAAAGGGGCCAACTAGACTTTTTGGTGGAAAACATAATGTAGTATAAACAGATTCTGACTTTTTTTCTTATTTATTCTTGTATTAGTGAGTTAATGTTGATTAATAATACTGTATATGATATATGGAAATAGGTGCACACCTCTTCAAAAATATATTGTTATATCTCATCCATTTCCAAAGCGGTCATAATCCTCTACCACAGTGCCCCTCTTCCCTTCTCTTCCTACCCTCTTCGTCTGGCAGTCTTAACTGTATAATCAGATTTCTAGGCTCTGTTTAGTTAGTTTTATCTAAACCAGATGGTGATTTACAAAGTTGAAACATGTATAAACCAGTGTTACATCAATAAAAATTAAAAAAAAAAAAACAACTTAGTACTTGAGGATAGAGGTAAGATTTGGAACATGATGACTATACTGTCTTTTCAACCTTTAGTCCCTGATCAAGAGCAGTGGGAAGCTGATTCTGTTAGATAAACTGTTGACAAGACTTCGAGAAAGAGGGAACAGAGTCCTTATTTTCTCCCAGATGGTGAGAATGTTGGATATCCTTGCTGAGTACCTGACTATTAAGCACTATCCTTTCCAGGTAAGAGCATTTAGTAATTTGGGTCCTTCACCCTAACTCACTCTCTCTTTGCTTCTCTCACTCACATTTATTGGGTTGCATACTTGCTTTTGCTAAATTATTCTAAAGTGATGAAGAAGCCTTTCCTTGCTTGAAACAAATTGAGGTTAAGATTTTTTTTTTAAACCTCATACCCCTAGCCTGCCTTATAATGAGAATGGTCATGTAAAGATGATTGTTTTGGAGAAGTTGGGCAATGATGAGCATTAGTGAAAGGAAAATTGGACAAGTAAAATGCTAGAGAGTATCTCATATTCCAGGTCTGTGGTAAAACAGAGGAAGGAAGTATGAACATGATTTTAGAAGCCTAAATTCTACAAAAAATACTAAGGACAGGTGACTACTGAACAGACACACAAAGAGGAAGAAGTCCATGTTGGCTATGAGTCGACGCTGGCTGTGAGGGTGGCAGCATAGCTTATCACTGGACCTTAAGTTCTCATTTAACATCACTAGTAGGTTCCTAGCATCTCTGGCTCTAAGCAAAATGACATATAATGAAAACTGAAAACAGAATAACCTCATTTACCTCAATATTAGCTGATTTTTAAAAATGTAAGTCTTGAGGGCAGCACTATTTGAGGACCTGCTGTATTTCCTTGCTGGTCTGTCTTTGCAGGAATTAAGTTACTGTAGATTTTCTTCATCATCTAGTTGTTTCCTTTGGGGGAAAAAAGAAGTTCTTTAGTCCAGTAATGTCTTTCTGGGTATTAGACTATGAGAATTTTATTTTTGATCTGTTCATAGACATGAGTGTCATTTACCTGATTTTAGTGTAATATTTTTATAGTGCCTTGATTTTTAAGAGAATTAAAAAATTTTTTCTTTATCTTTGAATGGATGGACTGTTCTACCAACTCATGTTGTTTTGCTGACCTTGAAGAAACTTGAAGTCAGTCACTATTTCCCAGGAAAGCCAAGCTTTATTAATAACTGACAGATTGTCTTTCAGAATATCCAATAAAGTGTTGTCATAATGTTAATAGCTTGTGTGGTGTTTCAGTATTCTGCCTTACAATATAGTCTGAGCTAGATACAAATGTAGCACATTGCAAAAAGAGTTGTCTGATTCCTGTGTGCTTTTCAGTTCTAACTAATCATTTGATACTAGCAAAACAATTACTTTGCTCTCTAGGGAGTAAGTGGGCAGGAGTCCATTCATATCTCTCATGCCTAATGTCTCCTGTTAATGGGAATATTAAAAGGAAGGTATTTGAGTTCTTTGGTTGTGAGCATGCTGTTTAAGCAGGTGTTTGGTTGAAGGCTTTGGCAGACTTGGTAGTCAGAAAGGATGGGACTTTAGACATGTGTTGAGGTGATACTGGGTCCAGGGGCACAACTTGAGCAGGGAGGTCTAGGTCCTTCTATACACTGCCACATCCAGTCGTTGATCCCTGGCCAGCTGACATCATCTTGGGTCAGTTGTGTCTTTTAAAGTGAGGTATTTATGTATATCTCAAGGGATGATAGTGAGGAGGAGAAATGTGAAAATAATAATAGAGAAAAACTTTTTGTGCAGCATACACATAATAAGTTTTTGGTATTTATTTTACATGTTTCATGGTTTCTCTAGGACGCGTTGTCTTACTAACACATACAAAAGAATTCTGTTTACTAGTAAATGCCAGCAACTGTTGAAAATGCACTTTGAAGACTTTGCTCTGATTTCAGAGTATAATTTTTGGAACGGCTGTGACATATGATCAATTTAATTTTAACATTTTCAGTGTTATAGCAAAATGTTCTCCAAATAAAATTGTGTAAGTAATTTTTTGGTTTATGTAGCACTAATAATCATGATGTTCTTAGACACATTAGCTACGAAGCATCTTTCTGCAGAAGGTAATTATTAGCTGACTGGTGATGCTGTTTCTTAACCTCTCCTGTTCCTACAGATACAGAAACAAAGCCTCTGAGTATAGCATAGGCTTTCTTTCTCCTTACATGTCCTGGTGGCCATTCTGATCTTTGGATAGCCTTGGAATCAGAAACTTCTGACCTTGAGCTTGTAACTGGAGAGCTTGGGTCTGGCATGGTGTGCTGCTTACAGCACAGTTCCTGACATCACTTTGCCATCACATTCTGGTTATTTTTACTCAGTGGGTATTGAAGTGATGAAGGTTGCAAGTCTGGTGTTCTATTCTGAGTGTAGTTGATCTTCCTCCCTTATCATTTTCTTGTTTATTTTTACAGCGTCTGGATGGTTCCATCAAGGGAGAAATACGGAAGCAGGCGCTGGACCACTTCAACGCAGATGGGTCTGAGGTATACCGTGCATGGCTTTGTTGTTTGGGGAGCCGGGAGAAAGCTTAAGGGGAAGCCTGTCAAGCTTCATGTATTCTGTTTCAGAAGCGTTTCACAGTGCAACGCTTTTCTGTCCAGAAGGGACTAAGGAATCATGGCCCTACAAGGCTTTCTTCATTTTGTTGTTTCCCACTCCTCCAAAGCACACAAGTGCTCGCTTGCTCTCTCCTATGGACTGGATGGAAGCTTGTAGCTCTGACTGTCCCCTAGGGTGTCCAAAGATCAAGTTTACGGGCCCGGGGCAGTAGCAACAAAGAGGCTGGCGAAGGCCAATAAGCTTTGTGCATGACACCAGGATTCTTTGTGACTGAGGCTTAAAATGTCCATTGGCCACATCCCTCAGATTTGTTGGAGCTGGTATTGTGTGGCAGTGGCCTTTCTTTGGCCAACAACTGCATTTGTTAACCAGTAAGTGTCCAGCTTGGATTGGGCATTACAAAGTACTTTGTTTTGAAGACACGATATAGAAGAGCTATTTGGACCAGTTATAAATTGTGGTAGCACTGTATTTTGGACACATTAGACTGTCAAATGCCTTGGGATTTGAGAGAAAGGGGAAGAAGGAGGCTTAGTATAGGTAACTCAGTAGCAGTGGAGAGAGCCCAAGCAGAACCAAAGATGTTCGGAAACCTGGGCCGCTATTTTATGTAGATAAGACATATTAAATTCTTGCTTTCTGAAAAGCTTTGTAAACATCACTGCCTGTGCCCATTTCTCTAGAATCATCTGCCTCCAGCATTGCTTATATATAGTCTTAGAAAAAGTATAGTATTCTGGCTTCTCTTTAGCCTAAAATTTGTTTCTCTTTGAGGAGCTTGGGATACTTCATTATTAGAATCAGACTCTGTGTAGTTAAGGAGAAGAGAGGAGGAGTTGAATTGCTGATATCTTCTAATTTCAATCCCTCCTTTTCCTCCTACCTACTTCCTCCACTGTGAAATCTTGGTGATTCCATTTACCTGCTCTGTAATACTCTGTGAGGGTCAGATACAGCACTGAGCACTCAGTGCATAGCAAGACTCAAAAAAATGGTAGCGAATTTTATTAGGTAATTTTTGTTGGATTGGTTTTTGTGTTGCCTGCTCTCACTTTAAAAATAGTTTGAATTGAATGTTTCATATTGCCCTTTCTCAGAAAATAAGCCAGTGTTACCTCTTTATTTTAAATAGCACTCAATCCTTTGCAATATGGTCATGTGTGTGTTTACACACACACATATACGTATAGATGCAGATTGTATTTCTGTAAATATGATTTTTTAAAATTAAAAATCATATTTATCAGTGTGGAGATGTTATATGAATTAAATATACATTTAAGACATTTGGAAGACGAACAATACAAGGGGAAAAAATTATACAAAATTCCCATCCTAGAGACAACTTGCTATTCATGTTATTTGGGTTTATTTCCATTCTTACTGGATGGAACTGTTCATTTCTTTATGTTTACCCCATTTGGATCCTGCTACATATTGTTTGTCATCACTTTTCATTCAAAATTATACTTTAAGCACTTTTCCCATATCATTAAAGATTAAAAAAAATGGATTTTTAATATTTTCTTATGCCATACCACTATTTATGTAACTAGTTTATTGCTAGAAGTCTACTTAAAAAGAGTATGAGTCTTTGAAACTGGGGCCTCCCTGGTGAGCTAGGGGTTAAGTCTCATCGCTACCACCATGAAGGCCCAGCTCGATGACCTCCAGGGAGCTGACCCATAGAACAAAGCAGACCTCTCCTATCTTACCCACTGCTCCCCTCAGCAGTGTATTTCAGTAGATCTGCCTATTCTGCTACCCTTTGTCTCTGGTATACCCCCATCTATTCCCCACCGTGTACCTCTGGCCTACAACCCAGTTCTTCTACACAAAATAAATAAAATAAAAATCTTACAATAGAGAAGTAATTCTTTAAAGAGTATGAGTCTTTACAACAGAAATTTCATACATTATGCTAATCACTTCCCCCATTTTATATTCTGTATATTTCTATTTTACCTCACCCTTAGCAACATTTTCATAATTTGTATACATATTATACATAGTCATAATTTGATCAATCTGATGATAGACACCAATAATATCTTATAATTCACATTATCTTTGATAAAGACTGACATTGGAATGGTTTATATAATCATTCAGATCCCAAATTTTATTTAAGCTTTAGATACCTTGTTTAAAATGTCCACTATTTACTTGAAGTCTTTCTTTCGAATGTGGTATCACTTGGTTTTTTCACCATGGAACAGAGTAGGTGCCTCCACTTAACTGGTGACCACTTCTTTATTGGAATAGTTTATAGTTCTTGTGGGGCAGTGACTTCCATTTGTATTTCTGTGGCATAATGCTAACGATTATGGCTATTAGAATGGGCTATTAGACCTTTTTATTCCATCTATGTATATTTACTAAACATACCCATTCATCAAAATGGAACTCAAAGCCCCCAGATTTTGAGTGACACTTCTATGTCAGAAAGGTGTTGGGCTTTGGCATACATGATTAAATTCCCTGACTTTGACTGTTTGGCATCCTTTTTTTCTAGTTCATGTAGTTAATTCTCTCCCCTAATCCTGCTTTTCTGAGTGCTTAGCTGCAGGCAAGTGTCTCAGGAGGCCCAGTCTCTGTGACCACCATTATGCAAGCTGGAACTGGCATGCTGGGATCTTTCACATAGCTGGCATCTCAGCCACTCTGCTCCGGTTTTCTTCTTGATCAGAGGAGAGTGAGGCCCCGTAACTCTCAGCAGTTCTGCCCCGGGTCTGCTAGTGTGTATTAATTACTAGCCTAGCATCATACTGTTCTAATGTTTATACTGAATACCTGGCCACCTAAGTCTAGGCAACTTGCTGGCTTGATAACCTTGATCATTAAGTTGGTTTGGTTTTTAACTCCTTCTGTACTCGTGATAGCCAGGGTAGGAAACTGATTCTTTTGCTCCAGTTGCCTAGTAGATTCTACTTTACTCCTTAGTTTACCACAATGACTCCTTCCTTTCAATCAAATAAAAACTCACTCTGCCATCAAGACCCTGACATGCTTTTAGCCTCCATAAAGTTTGTCCATCATATCTCACTTTTCTTCACACCTGCAGGTTTAAGGGCTTCCAGGTATAAGGGCTTATTGGACTGTGAACTTTTCTGAGAAGGCCACTGCATAAAGTAGTATATTGCATTATGTACAGGACTTCTGCTTCCTGCTCTCCACAAGGGCTGGTGGCCTGGGAATCAATTTGGCTTCAGCAGACACTGTTGTCATCTTTGACTCCGACTGGAACCCCCAGAACGACTTGCAGGCACAAGCCCGAGCCCATAGAATTGGCCAGAAGAAGCAGGTCAGTGGGAGAAGCTTCTGGATTGGCTTAGGGAAAAGGGAGTTATTCAGCCTGTTTGGGATGTTTGAAAATGCTTTTTTCCCTGTTTTGCTTTCCTTTCCCCCAAAGGTAGCTGTCTGTTTGTTGACTGTTACAGAGAACATATCTTTCAGGGCCCAAATGAGCCTGAAAAATGAGAACTTTCTCTTTTGCTATTTGAAAAGTACATCACCAGTGACTTCTGTGCATTTACCCCCAGAAAATATATAAGGGATAGACTTAGAACTGAACTTTCCCCTCAATTTAGTATGGAAAAGTTAAATATTCTGACATTGATCAAAGTGGTCTATTTTTTAATGTACATGGCCAATGTTAGCTTTGAGGCACATTGGAAAAGAACACACTGATTCCTTCATATTTGAATCTTAAAGCTTGCATTAGTGTTAGGTAAGTTTCATGCTCTGCCAAAGGTTCATTCTGGTGAAACTGAATTCCATCACTGAAATTGTTTATTCTTTCATAATATTATTATCTTTGCAGGCAGTTTGATTTAAAGATGTAACTTGCTATAGAAAATAGAATCATTGCACTTAATTAAACTACATTTGAATGGATATGGCTTCTAGTCATTTGTGGTAATACAGCCTTTGATTTCCTGTCATGGTTAGATGAAAGTTACGATTTTGGATGGAAGTTTTTTGGTGTATGTATGTGATCAGGCATAAACAGAACATTTGCTTTTTTGACAGGTAAATATTTATCGCTTGGTCACAAAGGGGACTGTGGAGGAGGAAATCATAGAACGGGCCAAAAAGAAGATGGTATTGGACCATCTGGTAATTCAGCGCATGGATACCACTGGCCGAACTGTCCTGGAAAACAACTCTGGAAGGTCCAAGTAAGTGCTGGAAAGATGGGCAGATGTGGACAGAGGCAACCCAGTTTCCCATCAACATTTGATACAATTCGTTCTTCTTACAGGATTCTCTACAACAGATGTTGTCCATTAATTGCCTAGAAAAAGCCAAACCAAGCCACAGTAGATGGCATTTTCATCTTGTTTTCCCAGTGTCTTGTTTATTTTTATCTGTCAACATCAACACGCTGCTTTTGGCTCTCTGAGTGACATATGACACAGCAGCAGCAGTGACAGATTGGACTGCCCCTAAGGGTTTCGTCCTGGTACCATTTTTGTTGCCTTGGTCTTTTCAGCAGTGAGAATTCATTGGATTGAATTGGCAGCTATTTCCTTACTATTGGTAAAACTTTTTTGTGCAGATTGAATTTTTCTTACTGAAGATAGGGTACCATGAAAGAAAATAGTTAGGTTTAAATTAGCTTTATTTGGAACATGGTGATTTCTCCGAGGGAGTTTATACTGGGACCAGACCAGAGTGCTAGGCATCTTCTGTGGCCTTCCTGGAGCTGGACGCACAGCTGAAAGCAGAGGAGCCTGCCCTTTTGGAGGGAATGCTTTCGGATAGTTTCCAGTAAAGTGGAAACTAGAGAGCTAGAGCTTGATTCTTTTTTGGGTCAGAGATGAGGCAGTTGAAGATTCTCTATGAATGAGAGATAGCTTTCTGAGTTAGAGGACAGACAACTTTCTCTGATGTTGTTAGTTGTCTTTTACTTAACCACATAATAGACTAACAGGAAAACAATTGAATACATAGTCTCCCGCTAAGTTAGATTTATCACCACAGTCTCATCCTGTGGATTAAAAAAAGAGAGAAATATTTGAGAGATCATTATTCTTAGGGCAGAATTTTTATTTTTCACCCATAATTTGGTTCCTTTATGAAGGATATATATTTGACAGTAGAACTCCACAGAGCTTATTTGACATTCTTAAGAGATTACAGCTACATTTTACTTCTACAGCTCAAATCCTTTTAATAAAGAAGAGCTGACAGCTATTTTGAAATTTGGAGCAGAGGATCTCTTCAAAGAACTTGAAGGCGAAGAGTCAGAGCCTCAGGTAATGAGCAATGAGGAAAAAGTTTTTGACAAATAATCCGTGAGTCAGTTTTTTTGGAAGCAAACTCTGAGTCTGTGCTAGAGGCTTTTTTTTTTTTTTTTTTAAAGATTTATTTACTTATTCATACAGAACTGGGGTACAGGCCAGAGATGCGGAGGGTGAGAAGATTCACCAGGGACAGAGTGGGGTGTAGAACAGGCACTTCGATGAAGTACACTGCTGAGGGGAGCAGTGGGCGGGTCAGGAGAGGTCTGTCTTGCCATGTGGATCTCCTCTGGGACAGGTGGGGATCGAACTCATGAGGAAGTGGCTTAAGCTTCTTAGTGCAGTGTTTTAACCCGCTGCGCCACCAGAGAGGGCCTTGTGCTAGAGGCTTTTATAAAGAAAGAATAAAGGGACTTTAGCTTCCTTTTTCCTTATGGAGCTCAGAGCTCTTATTAAATAGGTTAGAAAAGAAAGAAAATCTTGTGATTATTCTGTCTTTAGTTTGTTTTTATTCCAATTTTATTTTTTTGAAGTTTAACCTTGTCATTTGTGTAATAGTCTGAAATGTTAGATGTCATAGATACAAACCTAAGTACTGTAAAAGGAAATGAATATCAGAAAGGACCTTTGGTTTATTTGCATCAAACATTTTCAGCAAATCCTGATCACTGTTACCTTTTTACTATATTTATATGCTCTTCTTCCTTTAGGAAATGGATATAGATGAAATTTTGCGCTTGGCTGAAACCAGAGAGAATGAAGTGTCAACTAGTGCAACAGATGAGCTTCTGTCACAATTCAAGGTATGAAATTGAGGCAGTGAGTCCTCAAGTGTGGTTCATGAATAATAACTAACATCTGTGAGGACTTCTGTGGGTGAAACACTACTTGCCTTTTTCCTGAATTGACTCACATCTTCAGTGATGTCTTCTTTGAGTTCCATTGATGTCGTGAGTGTAGTTTTGGCTTTTCCCTTGAAGTCAGCCACTGAAGTGGCCCATCCTGCCCAGGGTCATTGGGTAGAAGAAACGAAGTCATAGTTTAGAGTATACTATAGTGGGACCAGCTAGTGTGGAACTCTGGGAAGTGTGGCAGGTTGTAGGAAACTTAAATAGAACAGGATGACAAAGAGAGGGCAGAGATATGAAAAAAGAAGGTGACAGGATGCTTTTCATGAGTTGGTGAGATTTTTTTTCAGGATGATTACAGGGTCATCAGTGGTATCCGCTGTAACAGAAAATATCTTGAGATCAGAAGTAAACCAGAAGCTGGGAGGTGGAAACACTGTGTATATATACAGTATTAATAAACTTTATGGAGGGGAGGGGAGCATCCTTGGTGGCCTAGTGATTAAGTCTCAGAGCTGTCACAGTGATAGTCTGAGTTCGAGCCCCAGAGGAATTTAACCCACACGGCATAGCAGACCTCTCCTGTCATGTCTGCTGCTCCCCAAAGCAGTGTATTTCAGTAGATTCACCTGTTCTGCTCCCCACTCTGTCTCTGGTGAGTCTTCTCACTCTTCCCCTCACCACCCCTGCACCTTTGGCCTATACCCTAGCTCTGTGAAAAAAATAAATAAAACCTTTAAAAAACAAAAAAGCTTCATGAAGAGTGCAGTGAAGGTATTGATTAAAGATGGAATCGTCCAGCAAGGCAAGGATTTTGGAAGATAATATCATGTTTCTGGATTGAGAAAAGAATTTGAAGTTAGGAAGATATTAAAGGTTCTAAGGAAAACTTAATGATACCTTAGCCCAGACAAGACTGGAAGGGATATAATCAAAAGTACAAATGGAGAAATCTGCCTTTGAAGTAAAAAATGTCAGCTGGATTTTTTTTCTTATGATGTTATTGGAGGACTTGCTATTCTTCATTTTAGTCTTCAAGGCATGATGGGATGGGGCAAAAAGACAAGGGCATCCACCACCACTCTAGGGCTGTCCGGAGAGGCCGCTGTTGCTGTGCATTCACCAAATGTAGTTTTTTTCTGGGATACCTGCTATTTCAGGTGTTACATATTTGTTACTAAGTGATTGGAGTGTTCATCCAGGTCTGTTTGAATTTTTTGCATTTTATAATCTTCCTTTTATTCTTAAGGCTAAAAAGGGTTCTTTTGAGTGTGTGAAATCCTTCCATGTCTTTAGCTTCTGTTTTTTAATGAAAGGAAAGACTGGCTAGGTTGGTTAGATGATAGCAGTTGCTTTGAGTTAATACATTGTTTCCATTGTGTTCTATTCAACAGTAACTTATAATTTTAGAACAGGATTTTATAATTAAATAAAGGTAAATCTTCCTATTAGTCTACCCCATTAAGAAATGTATAGCTTAATGAATATTTCTGTAAATTTAGAAGACAATTAGATCGTTATCTCTGTTTCCTTACTTTTCAATAAAAATTTCTGATGAATTTGAGGGCTTAGTAAGTTGATTTTTGGGAAGATAAGAGAGATTAGTAGAAAATTGTTTATCTGGCTATCTAATACCACAGCAGTTCTGTTCATTATTCAGAGCATCTTGATTAGATTGAACACTGGGTGAGTATTTCCCAAACCACTCACTCATTGAGTCGGTGTTTGGGAAGAAGGAAAATGACATTCAAATAATGGATTGTTTGTTGCTTTTAGGTTGCTAACTTTGCTACAATGGAAGATGAAGAAGAGCTGGAAGAGCGTCCTCACAAGGACTGGGATGAGATCATTCCAGAGGAACAAAGGAAAAAAGTGGAGGAGGAGGAGCGTCAGAAGGAGCTGGAGGAAATTTATATGCTGCCTCGAATTCGGAGTTCCACTAAAAAGGTAATGAAGTGACAGGAGAGATGGGAGAGTACTTGTGCTGTAAAGGGTACAAAGTCCCAATTTATACCACAGAAGCTTTGCATTACCACCTGACAGTGAAGACTCTAGGGCAGAGTTAGAGGAAACCTCACCGAGGAAAATGGAACAATACTGGAGTCATCAGCACACCTTTCAGATACTGGATCTTTGTGAACTGACTTTTGGGAGATAGCTGAACGGGTTCTGAATTTTATAGAGTTTTGCAGTTTCTTTTAGATTAGAACCAATTATCCAAATAATTTGGTTCTAATATCTTCGACTTTCACAGTATCAGTTTTTTCCACTTTTAAGTGTTTATGAATAGCTCTTGATATAGTTAGAAAAAGAGTATATAATTATCCACAAAGAACTTAATTTCACAGCTTTACAAGACACCATCATAGACACTGTATAATTTGATTTTTGCAATATTGAAATAGGAGAAATAGGTTTTATTACCTAGTTTGTTGGCGATAACAGACTCAGATTCATTCATTCAAGATAATAACAATATTAGCCAATAGTAGCTACTGTTTATTGAGTACTAAGTATGCCAGGTGTAGTTCTAAGTGCTTTTACACTTAATGACTCATTTACTCTGTATGAAAACCCTATACTATAGGTACAATTATCCTCATTTTATAAATGGAAAACAAAGGCCCAGAGAGGTAAAGCAACTTGCTCAAAGAAGTAAAATAGAAGCCTATAACCCAAATACTTTTATTCCAGTTCACTTATTATTAGGATAATATCTCTGGAGTGTGACTAGTCCAAATAGACCTTTCTTCATCACATGACATCTGTCTCCTTATTTATTAATAGAAAATCAATGTGTCTAATATGGAAAGTTTTGAGTACTAAAAGTGTAAGATGGGCTGGTCTTATTCCTTTGTCTTTTTGAACTTGGCACTTGCTAGAACATAACTTTGTTTTTTCAGGCTCAGACAAATGACAGTGACTCTGACACTGAGTCTAAGAGGCAGGCTCAGAGGTCCTCTGCTTCTGAGAGTGAGACCGATGATTCTGATGATGACAAGAAGCCAAAGCGCAGAGGACGCCCCCGAAGCGTGCGGAAGGACCTTGTGGAGGGATTTACTGATGCCGAGATCCGCAGGTTGGTGGAGGCTACTTTCTCCCTTGAATTTGTTTGGAAGGGTGTGCGGTGGCCTCAGACGGATTGGATCCCTACATGGTGATCGGGTGGGCAAAGACTAATATCTTCTAGAAAGAACAAGAGGCTGAGTTCACCTCCAAATCTCAGTTTCCCTCAGCTGAACTATCTTTGTTGCTTAATCTCTCTTTGTTTCCTTCCTGTTCTCTGTTGATATTTTTGCAAAGAAAGTCTAGCTAAGAGACAAGAAATGATTGGAAATAAAATTGGGCTTAAACTTTCTTTTTGCTTTCATTAAAAAATATGAATATGGGGCCCTCCCTAGAGGTGCAGTGGATTAAAGCACTGCACTAAGAAGCTAAAGCCACTTCAGCATGAGTTAGATCCACATGGTGTGGCGGATCTCTCCTGACCCACCTGCTGCTCCCCACTCTGTCTCTGTGAATCCTCTCACCACCTCTGCACCTCTGGCCTGTACCCCAGTTCTATGTGCCTAAATAAATCTTTAAAAAAATGTATGAATACATACATGCATCCATAATTACACATACTTATGTACCCGTGTATATAAAAGAAATACTAAGAACATAAAAATTAAAATGATATGGATAAGGCTATCCTTATAGACAAGGCCTACTCTACACTCCCCTTGAAATTCTGGTACATACAACATACTGTTCTGAAGCTTGTTTTTTTTCACTTATAATTCATTGAGAAGTCGTCCCTTGTCAGTCCTTATTCCATCCTTGCTGGTGTCTGATTCATATCATCCTGCTTCCCCCACCACCCCCCAAAAAAGCCACTAAATTACTGCCTCCAGACCATTTTCCCCAGTTTCCATGCATGTTATTTTTTTTTTTAAAGATTTATTTATTTATTCATACAGAACTGGGGTATAGGCCAGAGATGCAGAGGGTGAGAGGATTCACCAGAGACAGAGTGGGGAGCAGAACAGGCAGATTGATGAAGTCCACTGCTGAGGGGAGCAGCGGGCGGGTTAGGAGAGGTCTGCTGTGCCATGTGGATCTCCTCCAGGGCACGCGGGGATCGAACTCATGAGGAAGTGGCTTCAGCTTCTTAGTGCAGTGCTTTAACCCACTGCGCCACCAGGGAGGGGGCCCGCATGTTATTTTTTTAAAGACTGAAGTGATTAGAAAGTGTGAAGATAGTTTCCATTTTGGTCCAATTCATTTAATATGTCAAATATTTTTTAGCAGTATATTTTAACGTTACTATGCCTAGTCTTCAATTTGTTATGAAAAATATAAATATATAAAAACAATGATAGAAGATAGACCACCCCTGCCACATTTATCAGCTTAACCATTTTGAATTTGTTGTCAGACCTATTATATTAATACCCTACTTACTCATCTCACCCTTCACCCTTATTATTGTACTGAAGGGTACAATAATACCCTTCAGTATTGTTTTGAGAATAATGTATATTCTTCTGTGGCTGCACGGAATGTTCTATAGGTGTTTTTTT